ACAAGCAGCCAACAGAGTGAGAGCAGATACACTGTCTTTACAAGAACCGGCATGGATCGATCCTGTTCTGGACTACATGAAAAAGTCTGAACAAGCCATTGAAGAAATGGAAAGACATTTTGCTTTATGGTACCTCTGGAAGACTCTTGAAATTGTCAAAAAGATTGTCTGAGACCTGTTGATAGCATAACGATATGTAAAAAGTTGATAATCCCTCTAGTTATTAGAATTTGTTCAAGCAGGAAATTTAGGACAAAATTGTAAAGGGCAGGCCTGCTATAAAGCGTTAAGCTTCAGCAAGGAGTATTATAATTGCCATCCCTCCTGCAAAATGCTATCCAGAGCCACACGGCCTGTTGACTCATGCACAGAGATGGAGAACCAGTTGCAGAGGCTGAGACAGGAAATATAGCCAGGCTAGAGTACAGTAACAACAATCCTGTTTACTGCATATGGGTTTTGACTTGTTTGTTAAATAAATAGGTTGCCCTAAACCTGTCTCAGTCATCGCTGAATACTAGGTCCCCCTGCCTAGGAGATGGGCATCTCTGGGTCTGAGTGGTGGCCCAGCCTTTGAAAAATTCACGGCAAACTAACTGCTTCAACTAGGGTTGCCAATCCTCCCGGTTTTGCTGGAGTCTCCTGGAATTAGGCTCTAGCTCCCGGAGGCTACTGAAGCCAATCTGAGAGAATTTACGCGCTAAAAGTCTGGCGGTGCAGCAGGGCTAAGGCAGGCTCCCTACCTGCCCTGGCTCTGCGCCGCTCCAGGAAGTGGCTGGCATGTCCCTGTGGCCCCTTGGGGGAGGGAGGTGGGGGGGGGCAGTGGGTCTCTGCGCGCTGCCCGCACTCCGAGTGCCGATTCCGCAGCTCCCATTGGCTGGGATTTTAAGATTTTCAGAAGTGCTGAGCAGTTACAGCTCCCCTTGACTTCAGCTTGACTTCAGCTGCAGTTGCAAATGTTGCCCTTTTGTTTCTATCATAATGCCTTTGAGAAGCAAAGCTCTACTCCCCCTGTCTCCCACCATTCTTCTCCTTATGATAATGTAGTTCTTGGAAATGCCCTGCAGGTGGCAGCAAAGGCCAGGAGCAACAGGTCGAAGGGGGCCCTGGAGTATCTTAGCAGGCCCAGGATGGGGCTGGTTAGTACTGCCAGTATCATTCATAGAGCCACTGTGCCAGTACAGCTGATGCTGGGGTGGTGAGTAGAGCATGCAGTTGCCTTTCTCAGGCTGCTGGGAATTACACAGGGGGAGGGATCGGGGTAAAGCCTGGCTTAACATATTAGAAGGAATTACAGCTCTGCCATTTTGGAGCTGCTCAGCATTTCCTGCATAAATCCCATTTTATATAAAAATAAGCTGGAAAAATTTGGTGCAGCTGCAGGCTTTGTCCCTGTTTTTTTCCACTATACTCCAGCCCTTTCCAACTTGCAGGGCCAAAGGTCACAGCTACCATCCTTATGGCCTTGAAGAAGCAGGCAGCAGCCCAGGGACTAGGGGATGTGGATACCTATTCACAAGGTTGTAGGGCAGGAGCGTTTACAGTTTTACAGACCAGTTAGCTGTGGGGCCTGTCTTTGTGCAGCACCCTGCTAATTTACACTAAATCTCCACTTCACTTGCAAGAACCCCTCTCTCTGAGACTGCAAGCAGCAGCATCACCTGTCTGTCTCCCCTGCTCCCTTAGGCCCCAAGCCAGTAGTGATCACCATGACTGCGCAGAGTCCCACAGACTTCAGCAGGGCACCACACAGGTGCATCTGCCTGTGTGGATCCAGTTGCAGGATTGGGGCCTTACTACTGATGGATGCTGGCTCTCTCATATGTGCTTGCTCACACACCCATATGCTCTTGTTTGGACTCAGTGGTCTCCCGATCCATGCTGCTCCTCACCGGTTTGGTGAGGTACATGGAAGTGAGGTAGTGGAAAGGCCAAGTCTAGAGTACAGTTCAAGGATCAGTGATGCTCTCCTGTTTGCAGTGTTATGGGGGGGAACCTTGAATGGCTGTGGGAACAGAATCCTCCCAGTGGCTCCTGGTATAGTTTGTGCCAATGCTGTACTGGGCCTTGTAGATTAGGACTGAAACGTTGCATGTACGCTGGTTTTCAATGGGAGGCCAGAGTGATGTGCTCTCTGCAGGTGCTCACATACTCCCTGCCAGGACCTGATTACAGGAAGCTGAGTTTCTCTGGTAACAGCTACCAACAGCACTGACATTGGGGCCAAAGGCTCATCTTAGGTGTGTGTGATGGCAGCAGCTACTGCTGGCAGAATTTTATGGGTGGCTGTATTTGGATCCTGGCAGAGACATGAAAGGCGAGAGGGATTGACATATGAAGCAAGATGGAGTTGATGTTCATGGGGAGACGGAAGCACGTCAAAAATCCACTGCCACCATCATGCCTCTCTGTATCCCAGGCGGCTGCTCTGAGAATGTCAGGTCTGCCTACAGCCTTGGAGTCCTGCTGGATTCACGGCTGGCATTCTTTGTGTAAAATGCTCTCTCCTACTTCTGCCTGTTCGGGAGATTTCAGCCCATCCTGCTGGCCACAGGGACCCACCAATGTATGACTTCAAGGCTTGATTATTGCAACACACACTACAGGAATTAAACCATTTATTTTAAGCAGCTCCACTTGGTTCAAAATGCACCCACCTGCTTACCCAGCAGCATAGGCCTCTGAGAACTCATCATTTCAGTGCCCTAACCCTACACTGATGCCCCATTGGATGCTCAGTTCAGTTCAAGGTTTCAATCCAGTTCAGACTAGCCATCATTCCCTGAGATCATGCTGGTACGTGGCAGGTACGGTCCTCTGGAGAGTGGAATTGTCAATCCCGAGGGTGAGACCTGCAGTCAAAGGGGTCAGAGCTCTTTCTGTAGCTGTGGGACTCGCTCCTGGAAGGGATCAGAAGAACTAGGAGTCTTGGTGCCTTCTGAGCAGAATGAACTTGGCATCTGCACAAATAAAGGATGATTAAAAAGAGAATCCAACCAACTGGGACATAGAAACCAAGACAGACTGTATTTATAGTTCTGGGATGTTCTAAGGCACTCTGATGCCCTGATGATTGGCACCAATATTGATACCAAGACAGAAAACAAGAACAAGCTCAATCTGTCCAATTTGACTATATAACAATCAGGAGAGCAGGGAGCTGATAGTTTACAAGTGCTTTGAAGGGTGTAAGCATCCAGGAAGGAGAGTGTCGCAGGGTGACTGGTCCCAGTAAATGAAGTATGTCAAGTGCCCCTTTGCCAACACAGGCGCTCCCACTAGCCAATTAAGAGGGTGGGGGCAGCCCCGGGGGGCTATAATGGACTGGGGGATACCCAGTGATGAAGGGAGATCTAGCAAAAGAGAGACCTGGCAGGGGGTGGAGTCCCAGTAAGTCAGAGAAGACTGGCTCAGTCAAGAAGGGCAGGGGAGAGCTACCAGCAGACTGGGGGAGTCCTGGAAAGAAGCAGGTGTTTCCTGGGAGAAGGCTGAAGTCAGGAGAGCAGCAAGCAAGAAGGGTTTGCTGACTGGCATACCCAAGCCAGAGCCAGAAGGCTGACGGGAGGGGAGCAGCAGAGGAACTTACCTGTTGGCATCTCCTGGGCCAGAGAGCTGGACCCAGAGGAACCATGAGAAGGCCGGGGGAGTGAGGGCTGCTCCCAGCTGAGAGGCTATGGGGGTTCATGCTGGGAAGCGGGGGGTGAGGGGGGGAAGTTGCACTCCAGTTGAAAGGGCTGGAGTGTACAACGGCAGGAGAGGACTGCCCTGGAGAGCTGGGGTGTGGTGAGGGATGCTGAGGCTGTGCTGGAAACCCATGGTGTGGGAAGGGATGTGAGGGCTGCATGTGGGATTATGCTGGGGAAGATCTGCACTGTGGCTGTGGGACTTCTGTTATGGTTTCTGTACATGGGACTTCCATAATAAATGAACCTCACAGGGGCAATGTTTATACTTGGGAAGACTGGGCAGTATTTCTGGGGACTCAGAAGGAGGGAAACTGAGGCAGATGCACTTATTGTGCTGTGGCCTACAGCATGAGGGTGCTCAGGGCAGGGCTGCCCTTCTGACAGAGAGGAACTATTTCTATATCAATGTATGCACAATAGATGTAGGTATCTACCCTGGGCCAAGCTACCCGTGCTAATGTTTAAAATCCAATTTTTATCGTGTACAACCACGTCAGTTTCACCAAAGCGACAATGGAAAAATTCTACCACCTACAGTCCGAAAGCTGAAAACAAGCTTTGCTGCCTCTCGGGCAGATTTGGGCTCTTTAACAGGATAAGTAAAGGTATAGCTGGCAGAATGGGGTGAAATGGAGAAGGGAAAGTCTCCAGAGATACTCCCTGGCAGTGAAATGCATGAGTCTGTGGAACAGTCTCCCAGGGGAAGGGTTGGCAGTGTGATCACTTGGGACTTTTAAAGCTAGACTGGGACAGAGTCTTGGAGTATTGATTGTAGGAACCAGTCCTGCCTTGGCCCTGGAAGGAGGAGCTGCTGGATTAACAGGATCTTTCTGCTGCCTGTGATTCTCTGTGGAGTGACTGAGGGACTGATTTTCAAACTGTGTGTTTCTGGTGTAACCTGTGTTTCCCATGGTATCAGCCAGTGCAATCTTAGTGCCCCTGTGTCCCTCCCTCCCTGCCGATGGCACTTACAATGCCGCCGTTTGTTATGAACCAGGGAATAGCCATGTTGCTGCAATTGTAGCTGCAGTGTCTGGGCAGGGAGCTGAAGCGGTTGGGTTAATAAAGAAGCCGTGTTGGTGCCCCTGTGCCTGCGGTGGGGGAATATGGAAACCTTTGCTTCTAGCTGCTCTTGGAGACTTGCATATTTTTTCCTGTCCCCTTAAAAATAAAAGGCAGCTCAGCACAGACTTGCTGCTGCTGCATCCCAGCTCTGGCTCCCTCCCTCCTTCTTCCCTCAGGGACTGATGTGATGTGATGCGACTGCCCGACCTTCCCTCCCAGTCTCATGATTCTGTCTCTTAATCCTCCCAGAGCCATGTGAGCCTGCAGACCAATAGCGGCCTGGGGGTGGGCGGCGGGGAGGCGAGCCGGCTCCAGGCAGAGATGCTTCAGCTGGACCTGATCGATGCTGCCGGGGAGACCTCTGCCGAAGAGGAAACCGCCCAAGAGCCACTCAAGAAGGAGCCCCCGCCGGTAACCATGGACACCTACAGACCCAAGCGGCCCACAACTCTCAACCTCTTCCCACAGGTGCCTCGGACCCAGGTAAGTCTGGACTGGAGCATGTCCGGGGGACGAGGGGCCCAGAACCTAGGGTGATGATGGGTGCATTTAAAAGCCCCCTCTCTCTTTGCCTATCCCCCGGGTTCCTAGGGCGTGCAGGGAGGATTCCCAACCTCCTGATGGTCCCAGATGCCAGTCATCTCCTTGAGGCCTCAGGCAAGCTCAGCAGTGGCAATAGCAATTGGGGAGGTGAGAGCTGCTGGGTGGTATTGGGCCAAGCTCCAGTCTATGTAACTCAGCCCCTGGTGTGGGGTGAGGAGGGGGTTAATCCCTTTTCCAGAGGCTTTTGTTTGGGATGACACAGCTCGGCTGGTGAATGGAAGCGGCTGAAACCATGAGAGTGACGTGGAGGCAGAAAGTGTGTGTGTGGTGGGGGGGGGGGAGGGTTGAAATCTTCTCCCTTGTTTTTGGGTTGGAGGCGTTGAATGGCTGGGGAGTCACACGTCCGTCTCCTCTGAGATCACTCGTTAACACCCAGATAATTAGGTGAGGCTTGGAGGGATACGGTGTCCCCTGCTGAGATTCCCAGACAGCATTCCAAGACAGCAGCACCAGGAGGCTGGCCTGGCAGAGATGCTCAGCCAGGGCCTTCTGCCCTGGGTATTGTGGGGTTGTCCAGGGTCACTTTGTCCTACTGACCCCTAGAAATCATTGTCTGGAGGGCGGGAGGCAGTGATGGGTCTGGGTGAGTCACCACAGGATGGTGACAGAGGCCTGGTGGGGCACTGGTCAGGTAGGGAGTGGAGGGGCAGGAGCAAAGCGTCAGCCTCCAGGGGGATGAGGAATCTGAGAGGAGGTAGATGGGGGCGTAGCCATGGCAAGTCAGTCTGGTGATGGAGAAGGGATTGTGGGGTTTGGGGGCTAGAAGAGTCTGAGGAGGCTGGATTTGAGGTGGAGCAGCTTTGGGAGGTCACAGGGGAGAGCTTCAGTAAATGAGGCATGAAGTGACAAATTTATGAATGAGCCATTGAGCAGAGTGTGCTGGGCCAGAGGGGTGGGAGGGGAAGTCATCCAGGAGGACATGCAGGACAAAGCAGTGTGATGGGTATTGGAAAGCTTCCGGTTACAGCAAGGGGATGGACGGTTCAGCTGGAGGCTGTAGCCGGGCTATCTCTCTGCCTGCTCTCAGAGGGAAAGGAGGGATCAGCCTGGTCAAGATGTGGATGGGAGAACTCCTAAGTCTGAACATGCAGGGGCTGGTGCAGGTAGTGTGGGTGACTCAGTAGGGGATGCTTGCTGACCCCTATGTCCCAGCACAGTCAGTGCTAGAGGGTATGGTGATGGTGCTCTCTTTTGAGTGTGATAGGAGCCCAAGTTCCTGACTAGTGGTGCTTCAGGAGATTCCATTCTGTCTCCCTAAATTCCCCCTGGAGTTTCAGCTAGACAGAAGATGCTTCTTCTCTTCCTTTCCTAAGCAACTACCTGCGAGGGGGCTGCATTTCAGTGTTGTGTGCAGTGCTTGTGTGCACTGGCAGGAATCCCTTCGCTCGTCTGTCTCCTGCAGAGTTTGCAAAGCAGTGCACGGTGCGATACATACGGAAGGCTATTTTTATCGTTCTCTGTTATTGAGAGGTGGCTTCTCTTGCCAAGTAAGAGGATTTTCATCCTGGTGACGTTCAGCTGAGGAGAATGAAATGAGAGGCAGGTGTTTCTGTGTATGACAGATGGGGAGGAGTTGGTGGATATGGCGTTGGATTGCATCCACATAAAACTGGCAGCTGATCTTAAATTTCCAGTTGAGGCACTGAGGAGAGGGGAACATGGGAGAGGAGAAGGGGGCCAAGGATAGAGCCCCCCAGCCATAGGATGGGACAGTTAGGAACTATCAGTGATGGCAGAGGAGAAGCAGGCTGACATGAGATGACACAGGACTCAGGAAGGTGGGAGACCTTTGCGGGGAAGGTGATGCCAGTGTGGGCAGAAGTGCTGGAAGTTGGGGTGGGGGGCTATGCAGGAGGGAAGGAGGCTTAGAGGAAGTAGGAAAAGGAGGTTTGGCAGCCACAGAATTACAGCAGTTGCCTGCCATTCTGGAGTGAGAGCAAGTAGCAAATCCTTGGCAGAGAGGAAGGGGAGTCAAAGTAGAGATGGAGCAAGCAGAGGGCACCAGACAGGGAGCGAGGAGATGAAATCTGGTCTTAGCAGCTCAGAGGAGAGGGCTAGATCTCTGGAGGGGAATGCCCTGCTGAATCAGGAAGTTTGATCCAGGAAGCAAGTCCCTGGTGAAATTCCAGGGCAATGGCTTTGGAGAGAGACACAGTGGGGATGTCCGAGGGGGTGTCTGTCTGATTTCTGTGTGTTGGGGAGAATGGACAGGTGGGGGTGGGGGTCAGAGCCAGAGGGATGGGAGTGTATGGGGAAAGATGGGCTGGGTGCAGAGGCTGAGTGGATTGGTGGGAATGTGCAGTGGGAGAAGATGGTGCATGGGGGTGGAAAGGAGAGTGGGAGGAGGATGGATAGGACTGGGCGTTAGGATGGGTGTGTGCAGTGTGGCAGGGGTTGGCTGGGGTGCGGAGTGTCCATGTGGCTGAAAGGCCCTATCAAGCTGGCTGACCTCACTGGCTGTTGAATCCTTTATGATGCTGTTTCTCTTCATTGTGCTGCAAATGAGGGCTGAGTCATCTCCCCCAGAATATGGGTTGAAACTTGCCCCGGTTATGTTCCTGTTCCCCCTCTTCATTGGTATATATAGGCAGCTGTGCCTGGCTGCCCTCATAGAGGCTGTGGAGACTACTGTGAGGGGATCTTTGTCCAGGAAGGGCCTTCACACCTGGCTGGAGGTTGGGGTCTGCCTCCTGGGCTTTTCACTGAGGGGAGACTGTAACTGGAGCCATCTGGGGCTTGATCTCTGGGGGCTGGAAACCTCTTCTCATTTTGGTCTTGTCCAGGAGCAATGCTGGTCTCAGACCTGGCTGGCCAGCATGCCCCCCCCACTCCCCTTGGAGCAGAACTAGGGGAGAGGGGAGTCTCCAGGCCAGTCAGGTTTTCAGGCAGGCTCCTTTCCAAGCAGCTCTTGCTGTCTTTTAAACCAGCTGCTCGTGGTCCTGTGCACGTGGAACTGCCAGATGGACAGACAAGTGCAGAGCCCGAAGTGCCTGGCAGTGACAGCTGGGGCCTCTGTAATCCTTTCAGGCCCTAAGTCCACAGAACAGGCTTGAGAGAGTAGGAATCTGAGCGTCACATCCTGGCAACACCCATTTTTTCATGTTCTCTGTGTGTATATATTTTCCTACTGTATTTTCCACTGCATGCATCCGATAAAATGGGTTTTAGCCCACGAAAGCTTATGCCCAAATAAATTTTAGTCTCTAAGGTGAAATAAGTACTCCTGTTCTTTCTACTGATACAGACTAACATGGCTACCGCTCTGAAACATCCTCGTTAGTGCTGCTGGCGCAGGGCAGCCTGGATAGGCACTGACATGGTGGGGCACTGCTGTGCAGAAGCTGGCATTGCTGGCTTCTTGTTATGGCAAAAGGAAAATAAATGTAGAGAGAGCACCCTAGTGAAGAGGGGGTGAAATGTTGGTGCCAGAGGGGAGGGCTGGGTGATGGAAGAGAGAAACAGCTGAATGGCAGGGGAGTGTCTGCCTCTAACACCAGGATAATACTTCCTCCCAGCTTCTGCTGTTACGTAGAGTAGAGCAAGTGGAAGTGTCCTCCTGACAGAGTGCAGTGAGAGTCACTGTGGGAAGGAGAGATTTCTTCTTCACTTTCACTTCCTCCTCCTTGGATTTGCCATTATAACCTCTTTGTAAGGGGGCAGCAGCCAGCGTTTGCCCTGAAAATACTATAGTATCAGATTAGTGACTCTAGTCAATGCTTCAAGTCTTCCCCTGGAGTTGGATGAGGCTGGGGGCTGCATGTATCACTCAGAGACTCAGGAGGCTGATTGGGTCAGAAATGCAAACACAAGTTCAGAGTAGTTCTAGTCTGGAAAGGGACTAGGGGTCATTCTACATTGCAGTCACAGCGTGTGATTGCAGCTCATGTAGACACACCCAAGCTAGCCTTTATCTTACTAACTCGGATACTGGAGCAGTGAAGCCATGGTAGTGCAGGCTTCAGCATGGGCTAGCTACCCGAATAATTGTCCAGGTGGCTTGTGCAGCCTATGCTGAAGCCCGTGGTGCCACAGCTTCACTGGTCTAGGACCTAAGCTAGCTAGAGTATGTCTACAGAACCTGCAGTCACACCCTGCGATTGCAGTATAGATGTACCCTCTGCACCAATGGCCCTTTCTTTCCCCACAGCCCTGCTCCCCTGCGCGTGTATGTGTATTAGAGTCAGAATTGCTCACTTCAGTGACCAAAACACATTCTTACTGCTCTGTCCTCTTGTTAGCCCTGCAGAACCTACCTGGCTCCGAGAGGGTGGGAGGGTCGATCCTCTCTGCATCAGCAGCATTTTTGTTCTGTTCTGGTGGCAGAACCTGTATTATGAGTTGCTGTGTGTGACATGGAGAGAGCCCCACTTGGCTCCCAGATCCCAAGGGGAGTGTGTGGCATGGGCAGTTAGAAAGAAAGCCATTCTTTGCAGTCTGGGCCCATGTGATCTGGAGTCGCTATCATGAAATCCAATGATGTCATTTGTTTAGAGTCTCTTTTGGGAACCGAACTGCCCTTGGCACCATTATAGATAAGGGGTGGCTATTGTAAAAGCACATGGCTTCACTGTCAGTGAAGAGTGGATGCAGGTCCCAATGAGAGAGTTACACTGGGGAGGCAGGTTTCAGAGTAGCAGCCGTGGCAGAAGGCCTACAGGCAAATACCACTGTTCACAACTTCCTCAGCCTCTGTCCAGCCTTCCAACGGCAGGAGACTGTCATCTCTCTTCATTTCCTCCTTGTCATAGGTTAGATGGGTGTGGTCAGCAGCACCCCTCCTGTAGCCTGGTACCCTCCCCTCCCCCTGCTTTACACTGCACACTCACCTCCCGTCTTCTCTCCTTTTTTCAAGCAGACCTGATCTCTTGATGTGGGAAGGCTCTGACTGTGACCCATGTTGCAAACAGGGTAGGAGCTGAAACTGGGCCCCCTGGTGCAGTGTCTCTACCTCTGGGCCTGCAGTGGATCCTGCTGCTGCTTCAGCTGATGGTGAAGCTGGGCAAATTCAGCCTCTGGCAGCCTCTGCTTTTCCCTACACCCCCAACGATCTCCCCACAAGAGGGTCTCTCAGAGATGCTTGTGGTCCCTGTTGACTTGCCTATGGCTCTCCTTTGCAGTGCTGCCCCTCCCTGGGACTCCACCCACTCCCTAGCTGATCTCTGAGGTGCTGTAAGCATGTCTAAAAAGAGTTTGTCTATCTTAGATCCCCATTACCATAGAATCTGAGCACCCCACACTCCTTAGTGTGGCGGGAAAGCACTCTTCTCCCCACTGTACAGGTGCTAGAGAGATATGACTTATCCAGTGCTACACAGGAAGCCTGTGGAGGAGTCAGGCATTCAACCCAGGTCTCCCAAGTCCTAGGCTAGTGCTCTAACCACTAGACCATCCTTTGGGCCTGTTGGACACTTGGATGAGGAAATAGGAGGAAGGGGGACTGACTGGCTTCTCTGAAGGCATGTCAGGTGGTGACAGCAGCAAGATGAGCAGAGTAGGGGCCGGGGGTTGGGAACTACATTTACTCCCTTTCCTTATAGCATCTGGCAATAGCTTCCTTTGCGTCCCATTTGGGGCTGATGGTTCTCAATTGATGCCCAGTTCTGCTGCTTCCAGACCCTTCCCCTCACAGCCAAGCTCCCTCTTCCATTTGGGTAGGAAAAGGGGGTTGTGTTTCCTGTTTAAAACCTATCAGTGTTCCCTCCCCCGCACCCAGTGTAGAGACTACAGCCAGGATCTGCTCAGAGCCCTCCTTTAGCATCCCCACCATTAGGAAAGGGAGGGGGCAAAGCCTCATATATTCTTCCAAAGGCAGGGGCTAAGACCATCCGCTGGCTAGAGCACATGGGGGTGTTCCTGGGCTGTGGGATAGACTCCCAGAGCACCTTGGCTATTAGTGTCATGGAGTGGCTGGGATCACCCTAACTACCATCCGGCCCAGGCGCCCATACTTCTTCCTCTCCATGGCCTGCAGTCCCCTCCATCTTTCTGTGGCTAAGTACTGGGCACATCTGGGTGTGTGCTGGGCCCCAGTGAGCTGACATAAGCTCTGGTGTATGACAGAGTGTGAGGCACCTCAGACCTCCCTCTAGTGCCGCCCAACGGTCCTCAGTGACGGGGTGCTTCTGACTCCATTTCCCATCATTCTGGGGGCAGATGCTCTGGGGGACGGCTCACTGCAGGGCTGAGTTCAGATGCAGATACCCTGAGATCTGAGGCACTCCAAGGGTCAGGGGAGGGAGGGAAATCGATCTGCCAGCTGCTGGGACCAAACACCTGCTTGATCAGACTCTGTGGGGACACGAGAGTATCTGATCATCCCTCATTCAAGCCCTTTGTGGCTCTCTCTCCATTTCTGCGATAGTAACCTCAATGCATCCTATCCCTGGGCCACTGTGCAAACTGCCTGCATTCTCCATGCTGGGTCTGCTGCATCCGATCTCCACCACAAAGGGCCTGCACACTCTTATAGTCCCCTGGCCAGCTCATGCGCTGATGGAGAGAGGGCTGGGCGCTGCTACCTCCTCTGCAGCCAGGGCTGCCCCTCTGGGCCCAGTGTGCAGGAGCCCTGGCAGAGGTGGTCACTATGGCAGCTTGGCTGGCTGCGATCCCATTCTGACAAGTGACTGGGAGCTGCAATGAGGCAAATGGGGACACTTAGTTCTTTGCACTGGCATGAGCAGGGCTTTTGGGGCTATGTTGGCAGCCTGCACCAGCCCTTCTGGTTCGGGGGGGAGGGGTCTCCCCCTTCCTGGGCAGAGGGAGGGAACTGGCAGACTCTTTATACAGCATGTGCCTTCTCAGAGGCTTCCCATGCCAAGCGCTCTCTGCACTTGGAAAGGGGAACGAGGTGACTATTAGGCAGCTCAGAGACTCAGAGCTAGAAATTCCCTAGCAGATCTAAATCCCTCTCTTTGGGGGAGGCGTAGGAATGTTAGGAGGATCTGCAAACCCTGCTGATGGCAGAGAAAATCCAAAGGGCCCCAGAGACTTGACACACACACACACAGGAACAACTAAGTGAGACTCAGCCTGGGTCAATATAGATCCTGCAGCTGGGGAAAAATAACCCAAAAGCTCGATCCTCAATGGGAGGGGAACCCAGAGGGCAGATTCCTTCCTCCTAGGCTGAGAGACTCTGGGGGGATGGGGGAGTGGGGGAAAGCAAACAGGACAGGAGTTTACAATGAGATGTCTGCAAAACACCAGTGATATTCTGGGGGCTGGGTATGCAAAATCCTCAGTCCCAGACTGGGGACTTCAGAGAGACCTCACTCAGATCCTGCACTCAGTGCTGGGGCCCTCAGTCCCAGAGAGCTCTCATTTTGGGGCTGGAGGGGTCAATTTATGAGGCGAGATTAATAAGGTTTTGTCTAGGCTGGCTCGGTGATGACTAAACATGAAGGGGGAAGGTGATGTTTGCAGGTGGAGGAAGGTGATGTTTGCAGGTGGAGGAAGGATGTAAACCCCAAGGAGGGGAAGGAATCTTTAGGGCAGTATACTGAAGTGTAACAAGAGGGGTGGGGTGAGACTAAGAGGGGATATTTTGATTTAACCTCGGGAGATGTCTTGTCACTGAGACATGGATGGGTCTACAGAGGACGGGGTGGGACACACAATGCTAGATTGGGACAGAGCCCTAGAGAATGTGATGGAGGGTTTAGATGGGCCCAGGGTTAGATGGGCCATGGGTCTGCTCTGGCACAGAAGGGAGAGGGATACCAGACTGGATGGTCCATCTCCCTGTGGTGGACCCTGTTCATTGGGAATATGTCCACACTGCAGCTGGGAGCGAGCCTGTTAACCTGGGTAGACACTCACGGGTGCTAAAAATAGCTGTGTGGACACACGGCACCAGCAGAGGCTTGGGCTAGCCACCCAAGCTTGGACCTAGGGTATAGGGTGGCTTGAGCTCTGTTGGCTAGCCCGAGCTTCCACTGGTGCTGCACCGTGCACACTGCTGTTTTTAGCATGCTAGCTCAGGCCCTGCTAGTGTGCTTCTGTCTGCCCAGGCTGGCAGGCTTGCTCCTACCTGCAGTGTAGACCTACCCCAGTGCCCGCCCCTCAGAATTTGTCAGCTAATGCCTGGAAGCAGCTGGTAGGGGTTGTGGGATCTGGCTGCACTCATGGTGTCTCTAGCTCTGCCAGGAACACTCAGGAGTAGCAACTGCAGGATGCTTGATGCCCAGTACCCGCTTGATTCTCTGAATGGCATCTCACTGAGGCCATGTCTCCACTGGGAAAATGCATTAAGTCCCTCTTAGGATTAACCATGAGCAGCTACCGTGTTTTAAACACGCCTGCCTTATCCACAATAAGGGCAAAATTGGGTTGAACATCACATTAGTTCAGACATCATAGTTATGGTGTTTTCTAAAAAGATGCAATTTCCCAGTGCAGACAAGGCCAGAAAGAGCAGGTCCTGGGACAGGAACCGAACAGAGTGACCTTTGCGGCCCTCATGCCCAGGGTGGAATAGGCAGTGGGGCAGCTATGTTGCCCATGGGGAAAATGTTGGTCCTGGTGATAACACGTAGTTTTTCTCTTGCCTGGCCTGCTGTGATGGGAGCAGAGCGTACATACACAGTGCTGGCTGTGCCCTGGAGAGGTGTGGGACACAGCAGAGGAACAACCAGTGTGTGTACATACCGCCTGCCATGCTCACAAGCATTTCTCTTGACCCTCTGTGCCCAATGACACTGAAGGGCCTGTACTTCCTGTGCCACATACCCAGTGTCTAGAGCTTCTCACGCCAAGCATTGCCAGATGCATGACCTGGCCCCTGGCGCTCCCCAGCCAGGGGGTTAATGTGCCTCTCATTGGTGGGTCAAGTGTGCTAGAATTCATGAGCTCCTCTGGTAACATGAACAGTGAAGATCACAAAGTGAATGTGGGGGGGTGGGGGAGAGCGTGCAGGTGAGAGACCACATGCACAATGTGTAGATAACAAATCCTAGGTAGGTGCAAGGTTTGCTCGGAATTTTCCTGCCAAAGGAAAACAAAATCTGTGTGGGTCCTTGGAGCGGTGCCCTGAGTGCCACTCTAGGGTTGGGGTACAAAAATCCAGATCAGGTTCTTCCTCATCGTTCGTGGCTCGTTCCCTCCTGTGCCTTGAGTTAGCTCCCAAGCTCCTGCCCAGGCTTTCCCAGCAGCAGCTGCAGAGTTGGGATTAGCTTGTGGATCCCCCTGAGCAGCCAGATCCTCTGATGCACATGGACAATAGTTGGCTGATGTGGAGGAAGGCTGGGGCAGTGGAGTGGTGGGCTGGGGGAGAGACAGGGCATCTTTGTGCCATGCGCTGTTTACTGTTCCAGCTACAAGGCAGCTTTGTTCTTCTCCTTAGGACACTCTGAATAACAACTCTCTAGGGAAAAAGCACAGTTGGCAGGAGCGGGTGTCCCGGTCATCATCCCCCCTGAAAACTGGTGAGTCCAGGCTCTCAGCAGGAGGCTGCTTCTCTCACTCTCTCCGGTTTTCCTCTTCTGTCTCCTGGCAGTTCCTTCAGTGCCTGAATCTCAGAGGAGCAACTGCAGTCCTGCATCCTCCCAGTGCCCCATCCCTCTGGCCTGTGCCCAGTGAGGTGCGTGCTGCGCTTATCCACAGGCTGATGGAGGCACATTCGGACAGCTGGGAGTTGATTCCCCTCTGCCCGCCCCCTTTTACTGGGTACCTGTCCCCAGCTGGTAAGGTCCTTCCTTTCCTGGTGTCCTGGGAGCTGGTAGAATTCCAGCTTGGACCAAAAGTGAGAGATGGACTGTCCTCGGATGTTTTTGTAGCAACCTTGGAGCATGAATAGCTCTTCTGGGGGTAGCGATCAGGAGGCAGAGCCCGGGATAAGCTCCTGTCCCTACTGCGGCCTATGGATATGCAGGAAGGTAATCTGAATATTGTTCAGCTGGCATGGGATGTAGGCTCAGCAGGGAACTCTTCTTGGGCCCATAACCTCAGTCCCAGCCCTGGGTGCGGGAGCTGGCAGCAGCTGTCAATGCAGATGTTTTGGGTGTGTCCTCACTGTGTATCCCAGCACAGAGTGCTCCTAGGCTGCTTGTGCTCTGGATTTGATGGATGGATGTTGCTCTCTTTTTCTCTCTCCCTCTTGCCCACCCCCCAGGTGAGCAGACCCCCTCCCATGACCACGTTTGCCTAAGTGATGAGGTCAATCACCAAAACAGCACAACCTCCACCAAAGATCGGGGCACGTCCACAGAGAGCCCGTGCCGGCGCACAGCCGCCACACAGATCGCCCCTGCCTGTGTTGTGTCCTCCCGGGTGCCTGAGAAGCACCAGGCTGCCGGCCGGCTCCCACCCCACAACCCCAGTGTGGTGGTGGTGACGAGGGGGCCGGAAGCCCACCGGGACCGCATCCGCTACCAGACAGACGTGAGGCTAGAGGCCACCGAGGAGATCTACCTGACACCTGTACAGAAGAACTCGGACCCACTGGAGCCTGAGAAGCCCTTCCTGTCGCAGTCCAGCGAGAACCGCATGTCCATCAGTTCTGACATCGACACCTCCAGCTACCCCGCACTGATGGGGAAGCCCAATCCCTCCATCAGCGAGGAGGACGAGGTGTTGGACTACATGTCCTCGCCCGAGAAGATGAGCCTGCCCAGGACCTCGTGCAGCAGCAGCAGCAACGGTGGCTACCGGCATGGGCACAGCCTCCAGAGGGCGTCAGTGAGCTCAGACACCAGTGCCCTCTCTTACGACTCAGTCAAGTACACGCTGGTGGTAGATGAGAACGTGCAGCTGGAATTAGTCAGCCTGAAGCAGTGCTACTCGGGCTACAGCGACGAGAGCGACTCAGCAACCGTCTATGACAACTGCGTCTCCTCGCCCTATGAGTCGGCCATTGGCGAGGAGTATGAGGAGGATGCGCTGAAGCGTGATTCAGTCTGCCTGTCTGAGGACTCCACCCCCGAGGCTGACATCCACTTCTCCAAGAAGTTCCTCAACGTCTTCATGAGTGGCCGGTCGCGTTCCTCTAGTGAGTGCTGAGCCTGGGGGTGGGGGATGGGTGGCAGAGGGCTTTGTAACTGTATTGCAAAGTGATCCTGGTTCCCCCTGACTTCTCTCCCCTCCTGTGGTAACCGGAGTTTTAGTGTCCAGTCAGTACATCTGACTGGATACTGCCAAGCCTCGTTTTCGACTGGACTTTCCAGTTGAAAACTGGACACTTGGCAACTCTACCCATGACTCACAAATTGCAGCAACCTCCACTCTTGTAAATGCTCTACAATCTGAACGGTTACTTGCATTGCTTTGAAATTTGGTGTGCCTCATCGGGGTGCAGGGTAGCGTTAGTAAACCACATTTGAGGTCATTTGACAGAGGGGTTCCCAAATTACAGGTTTCCCCCCAAAAAACATGGGTTAACTTCTGCTGCCTTGTACTGTTAAACAGAGAGGCACTAATGACTGGGTGGGGGAATCACAACAGGCCTCTTGATGACTGTGAACCCACCCTTCTATTAACATAACTAAGAATAAGTTAATTACAAGCCCCCACCTAAGACAAAAGAAGTTTTGGACTTGCATTGCATCAATAGTTTGATCTCTAGATGTGTGCCAAAAAAAAAAAGTTACCTGCACGGTATAACCTGCTTCAAATAGGATATGCAGCCATGTCCCTCTCCCTGCCCTCCAGAAATACCCCTTTGGCCTCTACCAGGGCTTCCTACCTGTGTCCTCAGCTGGTGAACCATCTGTGGTTTGCTGGCTGAAAGTAGTGTACCAGGGAAAGGGTGGGGCTTATGTAAGTCCCCCACTGGCCACCAGTCATGTCCCCCCAGCTTGAATTTCCCCCTTGGCTCTGCCGCTCATATTATCCCTCCTCCAGAAATACACCCTGTCTCCACTAATGCCCTGTTCATATCCTCTGCCTTCGTGGAGTTTGCTGCACGCAAGTCCCGTTCTGATGAACCACAGCCGGTTTGTCAAACAGGGCCTTGCAAGCAGGAAGCCTCCACTGGTTCTCCAGCTCTCGGGGACATTAGTGGAGACCAGGGTCATTTCTGGGGGGTACGGCTGGGGTGAGGAATGTGATGACTCCCATCTCATTTCTGGCCTTTGAGGTGCTTGAGGAAATTGCCCACCTTTACCCCACTACAGCTCTGCTGTCCAGTTCACTGGCCGGGACTCAGCAGAGAATCTGAGTACAACTGGGGCCAAGCCCACTTTATGGAGGCCAAACTCTGGTCACTTAATTCTCCTGTGATCTAGTCTCCTCCTGCGACTTCTGTACAGAGTCCGCCTGCCAGCCAGCCAGCAGTTCCTGCATGGCCAGTTCCATAGCGCTCCCCACCTGCCCCATGCAGGAGCTACAAGGGGTTTCCTTTCTCCACTTGATAGTTGCTCAGTGTCACCTATGCAAAAGCAGCTTGTGGGCCTCAGTCCTTTTGTACACAAAGCCACCAGCTCACCTGTCTCTGATTTGGCTCCCTTGAGCAGCCCAAGATGGAATGGGCTCAGGAGAATTGAATTCCCAGTGCCGCCCAGGTCAGGGCTGGGGCGTGCTGTGAGGAAGCTGGCTTTGCTGCCTGGGCTGTGCCTGTTTCTAAAGGCCTTTGGGCGCGAGTGCCTTTCACCAGTGTCACACTCAAGGGCTTTCTGGAGCTTTGTGCCAGGCTGAGTTCTCTGGTCCCCAGCTGGGCATGAGGAGAGACACAGTTCTACCAGACACACCTCTCTCTCCTAGCTGGCATTGACATGCCAGTCCTGAATGTAGCACCCCCTGCTGGGGATACCACATAAGGGAACCCTGAAGTACATGCCAGGGCACAGCTGCTCCCAGAGTGGGTCCTGAGAACAGTTTCCCTCACTCATCCCCCTAGAGACTGTAATGTTGCCCTTTGCATACACAGGTGCGGAATCGTTTGGGCTGTTCTCCTGTATGATCAATGGGGAAGAGCAGGAACAGACTCACCGCGCTGTCTTTAGGTGAGTGTAGACACACCCTACACCCCAGTCCAGTCAGCCTTTCTTCCCAGAGCGCTTGTTCTGCCTCTAGCCCAGAAGATGGGGGAAGGGGGGACTTCCTCACAACAGCTGCTGCTCTGTGCGTGGCTGTACTGAGCCCAGCCCAAACCTCTGCTTCCCTTTCACCAACATGCTTCTGGGGGAGGGGGAGCACCAGTGACCAAACTCTTGTAATTGGCCTGTATCTGTCTCAATTCCAGCTGGTGCACAAGCTAAGCAGTATCAAGCCTGGTCACTACTGGGGTGGGAGACCTCCAAGGAAATCTGGAAGTGCTCTGGGCGATCCAATAGGGCCCCTTTTCAGTGCTGACCTCAAAGGTCCAGGATGGTATTGAGGGCACTGTGCTGTCTGTAGATTATAACCCTCATGGTCATTAGGGATGCTCGAGCTCTTTACTCAAGCCCCAGTGTGCTGGCCAGTTGCAGCTCTGGGGAAGCCATTTTGCCTGTTTCTGTTGGACAGTGTGTGATAAATGTTGCATTCACATGCAGTATCTTTGGGGCTCGTAGGTATGAAATCTATGAATGGTTTAGGTATGATTGCCTTCCACTCCCCAGGGGAGAGTTACCACAGCTCCAACAGGAACTAAAATCAGTGGAGGGTGATTAAGGCAAGTCATGGAGACTAAACAACTCTAAAGAGATACCATCATCTGCAGTGCTTTGTATATACTGCTTCAAACTGACTTTTCCAGAGACCAGGAGACACAGAGGGCTTTTGGTATAAAAGGCTGAGCTTGAACTGACTCCGGGCTTTCTTTCTAATCGAGCAAGTGGACAGGACCTTCTGTCCAAGGGGTCCCCAACCCTTTTGGAAGGGTTGGAAAGACTTTGGCCTACTAGGGCCCCATATGATTGATGGGTGACTCCTGGTATGGTTAGTGTGTGATTAAATCGGTTTGTTGTTTTTATTCTGTTTTCTCTGTAATGCTTTTAACATAAAAATAAATGGGCTTGCTTAGAAAGAGCTATGTGTTAACTTGTAGCTGCTAGCGATGCACTGCTCACAGCCCTTGGGGAGAGACAGCAATGCACAGGCACTGGCCATTAGATAGACTGGCTTGCTGGGGATATCGCAGGGTAAGGGCAGGGAGATGTGCAGCCTTAAAATCCCTGGGCAGAAGGGAGTGGGACAAGGGCCCTTTAAATCGCTGCTGGAGCCCCAGGCAGTGTGGGCCAGGCACCGCGGATGGGCTGGCTGGGGGATGCTGACCCCAGACCCCACCACTTCTGCCTGAGGCCCTGCCCCTTCAGGGGCCAGAGCCGGCCCCCGTACCGGTAAGTGTTGAATGTTACTTTCACCCCTGGGTGATGGCTGGAGACCTGACTGGGCACTCTGGAGTGGACCATGGACAGGGGTTGGGGGGATATACAGTTGCAGTTACCCTGAAACTGTGGCACAGAGGATTCTCCATCTCTCCCTGTCCCTAGCTGCTAGGCAGTGTTGTAGCTGCTAGGCAACCAGTGCTCCTGGTTGGCAAAGTGCTGGTGACTCCCCCCTCAGGTTTGTGCCTCGTCATGCGGATGAGCTGGAGCTGGAGGTGGACGACCCTCTGCTGGTGGAGGTGCAGGCAGAAGATTATTGGTACGAGGCCTACAACATGAGGACAGGCGACCGGGGCATCTTCCCTGCTTACTATGCGATTGAGGTCACCAAGGATCCTGACCACATTACAGGTACTGGGCCCCTCTCTACAGCTCGCATGTTGCCTCCCAATCCTGACCTACAGCATGCCCTTGCTATTCCAGCCTATGGCCTCTCCTGAGCAGAGATTGCCAGTCTTGCTGGGGTGGAGAGATGATTATGTTGTGCACAAACTTCAGCTAAGAAGTGAATAGAGACCTAGCCAACTTCTGTTCATAGCTCTGTGTCCCAGGACCTCTGCCTGGAACTTTAGGAAAGGTGCATCCCTAGCCCTGGGATGCTATGGGTGTGTGCGTGTTGTGTGGATGTGCACAGATGCCAGGGTGGGGGTGGGGGTATGCGCATGTGTGTGTGCACATGCTTGCACTGATGCTGTGTGGGGGGGGGCAGTATGCACTGATATGGGGAGGGGATTGCACATTCTCATCTGCTTTGCGCTTTATCTTCCAGCCCTGACCAAGAACAGTGACTGGATGGATCAGTTCCGGGTGAAGTTCCTTGGCTCAGTCCAGGTTCCATATCACAAAGGCAATGATGTGCTGTGTGCGGCTATGCAGAAGGTACAGCAGCCCCTGAGTCCTGGCCTCCCACGGGGGCAAAGAACCTATATTCCTACCTGCAGAGCAAAGGGCTTTCTGGGAAGATCTGGGAGCAAGGCGATAATTTCCCTGGGGATGGGAGGGGGCCGAGACCTCATTTGGGGGAACGAGGGCAGTAAGTACTCATGTGATTTGTGGGTGTGATAGTCTGTCCCTTTGTCTCCTCCCAGATCGCCACCACCCGCCGCCTCACTGTGCACTTTAACCCACCCTCCAGCTGCATCCTGGAGATCAATGTGCGAGGAGTCAAGATTGCTGTGAAATCTGATGATTCCAAGGAGCAGAACAAGGTAACAGACCTCCCGACCCTCAGTTCTGCTCACATACATCTCCGGGCTATCCCTGCTTCAGCTGATCACATTCTCAATGCCCAGCATATCACCCTCCAATCACAGCTCCACATTAGCTCATGCCCACTAAAATAAAGACAATATTCTTATAGAAGCCATAAGAGATCCCTGATTTGCACCTCTCCCTGATTGGTTGTTCCTGGACCCCAGAAATGTACCCTGAGGGGTTGAAATGTATATAGTAGGATCCACCCATCCCAAACACAACAGGATCTACTCTCCCAGGGCTGTGGGATCCACCTCCCAGGGCCCTAGCTTCAAGTCCAGCCTCCAAGCCCCTGAGGGGAGGAGAATCCCCCTGCCCACCAGGGCCTAACACTGAGGTCCATCCTCCCAGCCAGTGGGTGCACTACTTCACTGCAATGTTAGTAAGCTGAGCTGCTCTCATAATCTGTGAGCTGTTTCTAAACCCTTCTGCTGCTATTTTGAGTGCTGCTCTTGGATCTGAGCAGCAAAGCTCTTTAGATGGACATTGGAGGCTTCTGATTAGCGTTCTGAATAAGTAGCCTACGCAGAGCCTACAAGAGGCAGGTGCGGAGCCACATGAGGCCTTTAGGCAAAGCCATTCAGAAAGCCTTCCCAAATGGTGATGCAGTTTCCCTGCTGGAGTAATTCAAGGGTGCCAGGTACTAGCAGCCTGGATTTTACTCAGACTGTATTTAAGGGACACTGCCAACTTGATTATTTTTAAAACTAATATTTAAAAATTCCAGTTTCTAATAGGACCCCTTTAAACAGTCAGGCCTGAGTGATGGATTTAATTCCTGTTATTATTTTGCATTCCCATTGTGCCTAGGAGCCCTGTTCAGGGACCGGGAACCCTTTATGCTGGGTGCTGTACAAAGAGAACAAAAAGCTGGTCTCTGCCCCAAAGAGCTTACAAGCTAAATATAAGATGAGACCTGAGATGGACACAGACAGACAGGGGAATACAGGGAAACAATGAGGCAACATTGGTCGGCATGCTAGGCAGTGGTCTCAGCACACCAGGAGCCTGACTGTTGTCAGGTTTTTGGTAAGTGTCACAGCAGAGGAGTTTTAAGGTGGATAATGACTTGAGTTAGTTTTGTGGGTGTTCACGGGGAGCTCCTCCAAATCAGATGGGGCAGCATGGGAGAAAGTGCAAAGGTACTTGTTTGAAAATGTAACAGGTGAGCAATGCAGCATTGTGAATGGATGTGAGCAGGGCAAGGTTGCATGAGAGCCTGGAGGAGCGTTTTAACTGTGGGAAAGGCCCTAGCTTAAGAGATGTTAAATTATATACATACATATAACTGCTTTTCTACTCCCTGGCTGGGGTTTATAAAGGTCTTTTCAGCAAGGGAAAAACGGACTATACAGGGCAAACAGTGACACTGATGCTAAAGGTGCTCTCAAATACACAGAGGAAACACAAAGGAACTGAGCAAGAGCTCTGTGTAAGCTCAAAGCTTGTCTCTTTAACCAGAAGTTGGTCCAATATAAGAGATGACCTCACCCACCTTGTCTGTCTCACACACACAAGAAAATGCTATGCCCGCTGTGAATGCTAATAGCTGTCAGTGATGGGAATCATGAGACTAACCGTAACAAGAGCAACTATAGTTCTTCCCAGAAGAGATGTGATTTCACAAGTAGACAGTGCATCTTGCAAGTTCATGCCAGGGAGAAGTTCAAGCTACTAACTAGAGCCAGGAATCATGGCTACAAATGCTGAGCAAGTTTCCCCCAGCTCTGACAAGGTACCTCAGCCCTCGCTCACAACACCCCCTGAAATTCCAGTCCCAGGTGCCGTGCACAGCCCTGCTCATGCACCTCAGTCCTGATATGTTATCCCAGTCCTGGACCCACTTCCCACAGCCCTGGCCATGCCTCCCCAGCCCTGACCTGCAACACCTTGCTGTACTGCAGTCCAGACCTCCGCAAAGCAGTCACCAATTGTGTCAAATTGTATGGAGGTTTGTGATGGGCAGAAATGGGGTCAGGCCAAGAGACACTTTCATGTGGGACCTGATTCTGGATCTCCATGGGTGAGAGATGGGCAGCATGTTACCCTCCTGCGCCCCATAGAGACAGCCCTGTATCACACTGCCAGTGCAGGCTGAGTATGACAGCTCTTTTCTCTGTCCCACAGGGTAATAAATGTAGCCACTTTTTCCAGCTGAAGAACATTTCCTTCTGTGGATACCATCCAAAGAACAACAAGTGAGTGCCCACAGGCCCAAGGCTCCATGATCCTGAGCCTGGGGGAGAGAGGCCCCCTTTCCTTCTCAGCCTGCTCTCTACTTATAGACTCAGTTGTGTTCCCTGGGAGCAAGGGTGGGAGGGGGGCATTCCAGCTGTCATCATCTTCTTCCTCCTCCTCCTCCCTATGGGTTTCCCTTCCCTGCAAATGCTACCCACTTTTCCCTGCAGCTCCAGGCATGGACCAGCCCTGGGAGTTCGATGCTTTCTGCCCCACGGTCTTGGGAGGGTTAAAAGTTATTTGCAGTGGGTTCCAAAGATGGGGCTAGGAAGATGCAGTGAGTGATTGTTATCGGACCAAAGCTGAGTCACTGGACAGTGGAAGGGTTTTTCCTGTTGGGAATTTTCCCCATTTCGCTGTGCCCAGGGCTGGGCATTTGCACAAGCGTCACAAGTGACTCTTTGGGGTCTTCTTTCTTGGGGCTCCCCAGCCCAATTTTGTCCCCCTGCCACCAGAATTAGAGTGGCTGGATCCCAGTTTCCATGCCCTTCCCACCCCCTCCGCACTTCCCAAAGGGTAAGGCAGGCCCTGCTGTGAATACTTCCTGGCTCCTGGGCTGTTGCTCTAATGGGGCATACAGCCTGGGCGGTGGGCAGACCTTCCTCTGCACCACAGCCCTGTGCATGGCCTCCGCTCCAGCCTCACCTGCTCTCTTCTCTCCCAGATATTTTGGGTTTATCACCAAGCACCCAGCTGACCACAGATTTGCCTGTCACGTCTTCGTCTCAGAGGAGTCCACCAAGCCGCTTGCAGAGTCTGTAGGGTGAGTCCAGGGTGGGCTGGCGGAGGGGATAGATTTCTTTCTTCTCTCGGGCAGCAGTTTCTAGTCCCTGCTCCAGGCTGCATTTTCTGCCTTAGTTATGAGACTAGGCTGGGCTGTTCACTGGGGTGCTGCTGCCTTGAACTGTGGTGCTCTGTCCTGCTATGGCCATGGGCTACGGACTGGAACCGCACAGCTGAGCTGGGAGTGGGGAGCTCTGGTTGGGGCAGCCAGAGAGAGTGAGGATTAGGTTACTTAAACCCCCAAGTATTTTCCATGGCAGTTTGGCGCTGTGTAGAGAAGATCTGGAGACTGACGTCCTCTAGGGATAGGGGCCAGTTAAAGCAAGACTGCTGTGCAGTGGCTTTGTGACTTGGACACTGGACCGAGAGCCAACAACTGATTTCACAGGAGGCCCCAACCAGCTGAGGCATTGTATGGTGATAACTGTTGCCTTGGGCTGGGTTGGAGCAGGTGCCCTAGAGGTAAAAGGCTCTGGATCCCAATCCCCTGAGCCACATCAGATTGGAGAAATTGCCCAGACAGGTTTGCAACTGCTGCTGTGTGTCGCTGAGTGCCACACAAATGCTCTCAATAGCGACACCACGTGGCTGACCTGAGTCCTTCTAGCTACTCCATGGTGGGGCCTATGGATCTGTGTCCCTGCCATTTCCCCACTGCTGTGCGATGTCAGGTGAATGGTTCAAGGATAGATCTGGCCTCTGCGCCGCCATTCACATACACTGCCGCGGGGGGAGGAGCAAAGGATGGAGGGTTGCAGGACTGCCACGGGCTAAGACCTTTGTCTTCTTATTGCCCAAGAGCTTTACAGCCCCCTGGAATCCTGGCAGTGGCCAGCAAGAACAGACTGCTTCAGTAACCCTCTATGACAGGAACAGGGGCCGGCAACAAGCCTGTGCTGGGTTAAAGGGAACCAAACCCCAACAGCGTTGAAACAAGCCCCAGGGGCTCTTGGGGACAGGATGTGCAAACTTCACAGCGGAGTAGACAGGGATGTGTAGGAGACTGAGGGATTGTCCCCAAAAGGAAAGGGCAGAGACCATCACTGGAGACATTCCAGCGGGGCTGACAGAACCTTGGGAGATAGAAGTAGCGGCCAATCCTGCCCTAGGGGATAGACTAGAAAGCACCTAATGGGGTCTTTCCAGCTCCAGTTTCTAGAACTCTGTGAAAATAAATCCCTGAATTCTGCTAGGGGCTGAAGGCCTGTTCAGAATCCCTGACCAAAGAGGGGAGTGTGCATGCAAGGTACACGCGGCTTGGTAGGGGAGCTGCCAGTGCACTGAGTGGCAGCCGCGCCTCAGCCTGCTCTCTGCTGTCTGTTGCAGGAGGGCTTTCCAGCAGTTCTACAAGGAGTATGTGGAGTACACCTGCCCCACAGAGGACATCTACCTGGAGTAGGGACTGGGCCGAGCACCCTTCTGTACAGACAGGGCCAGCGAACTCGCCCATTCCCCATCATGCATGGACAAACTGCTTTGACACTGGAGGAGGAACAGAGCTGGGGATGGCTCCCTTGGTGCATGGAGCACTACCTCTTTTCAGGACTCTCCTTCCTCGGGCTGGGGGTTGGGGGATGGGAGGGGGAGGGGCTGAAAAATGGGGTTTATTGTAAAATACTCTTTTAGTTTATTATATTGAAGAAGCAGCACAGCTGTGGGCTCTGAAGGGGGAACAGGCAGCCTGGGGCAGGAATGCAGCTGTGGCACTGGAGTTGGCCTAGGACAGAGCACCCTGCCACTGTGTAAGTGAGAGGGCTGGCCTGGTGTGATGAGAGCACTCCTCCTCCTCCCTCCTGGGTGCTAGAGCGAGGACTCCTCCCAGCTCCTGGGCTGCCTTGCAGCCTTAGCCAGCTTTCTCCAGCTCCCTTTCTTAGTCCCTCAGGTTGATTTTTAACTCCAGGGCAGCATTGGCCTCGCACTGTGAAGCCACATCAGCTGCTGAGAACAGGAGCTAATAGGAACAGGTCAGCCCAAGCCCTGACTGAGGGGGAAGGGGATAGCTCCACTCCACCCCCTGAGGGGCAGGGGGCATGGGCATGGCAGAGAGGGGCAACTGCTAAAAGCCTTGGAACCACTTGATGGGTACCACATGGAAGATGGACTCACCCCTGCACTCATCCCAGGAGGGAAGAGCAGCCTGGTTTGTAGCCTCCCTGCCATTCCCACCCTGACATCCTGAGAACCCCCTGCTTTCCAGGGGTGAATATTAGCCTGGGCTGAGACTATGGGGCCCTATTTCTCCTCTGTGTAGAGGAGTGAGTTTGAGGAGAAGAAGCGGGGAGCAGAAGAGTCAGTGCCCTCACATCCTGTAAAGGTGGGAGGGGGACAGTTCCTCTGGGGCCCCCTGCCCTTCAGTCTCCAGGTTGTGGGGAACTCCTCTGCTCCTCACCCCACCAGCTGTGGGTGCCAGTGGCTGTGGGCTATTTGCATACTGGGATGCACGTTTGAAAGTGTGAAATGCTGAGAGGCAGCGGCTCTGGTCCATCTGCAGGGGGGTGAGCACAACATGAATTCTTTCCCAGCCTCCACGATGGCAGTGGCTCCACAGAGGGGGAGAGGCAGCAGGAACCTGAGAGACGAGCTGGGGCCCTGAGACAAGAGAGGGAGCAGCAAGGGGCTCAGGACTGCAGTGAGCTGTGCTAATATCTAGGGGATGACACTTCTCCCCTCCAGTCTAGGTCTCTGGCCTTCAGCTGGATCCGCTGTGGTGGCAAAACTATTAAATATAAAGTTTCATGGAGTTGCTCTACATGTCTCTGTGTGTCACACCAGAGCGCTGGGCAAGGCCTGCAGCTCCTCTGTCACAGCCTTGCTACATGGGCATCCTGCCCCCACCCCATTTTCTCCTTCCCAGGGGCCTCTTCACCCCTCAGAGAGTCCCACCCAGCACCTCAAGCCCAAGGGAGATTGAGTGTCATGGCAGAGCAGCTTACCTGGCAGCCGGGGGACTGCACAGAATGGCTTTCTATGGTTGAGCGATCTCAGTTCTCTGTGCCTGGGATCCCCACCTCAACACTCAGGCGGAGACAGGTAGCCTTCATTAGAGGGTAGGAGTAATTTTAGGGACTTCATCTTCAGCTACACTGTTTCCAGCAGCTGAAGAAACATTCAGGGGACTGAGGGCAGTAGTCTGGAGTAGTGGCAGCCCTCTGCCTTCACCTTCCCCACCCCCACCCCAACAGCCATCACTGAGCAGACCCTCAGTCTGTCTTGCTGTACAGCGCACCTTTATAAAGCAGCTAGTGCACAGGGCCAGAGCTGGAGTCCCTAGCCCATGGGGCTCATGGAGACTCCACAAGTCCCTGGGCAGCTCACAGGACATTGTCATAATAATACTCTGCCAAATCTGACTCATCCCGCTTGCTCTTGTGTGCTTGGTGCAGGCCAGCAGGCTGCTTCCGGGGTGCTCGAGTCTGGAACTGGGGGTGCTTCGGTTTAATGCCATAATCTATGGAAGGACAGAGAGCTGGTGATGGAGAGGGGAAGACACTCAGGGCCCAAAACAGCCTCTGTTGTGGGGAAACTGCCTGCAGCCACTAATGATCCAAGTTTGGGTCCAGCACTCACATGTACACCTCCCCCCACCCTCCCCGGGATGTGCTGTGTGCTTTTGGGAACTATGAAAAGTAAGCCTGGGCTGTGGCAGCACCCCAGTCAAGGCTGCTCCTAGAGCAGTGCAGCCATCACTCTGCAGTAGCAGGCGCAGCAACTTCTGTGCCATGCACAATAGCAGCCAGCAACAGCAGGTGCCTGTTAAGTGTCCATGCATAGGGAGGGAAAATCACTGCAAACGAGGAGGGGCAATTGGCACGGGCTGGCTTCTCAGGGGCTTTCCCCACAGCCTGGCCAGCTGAACTATGGCAGGGGGTGGGGCAGTTTGGACTCATGGCTAGCTGCCTATAGAGAGACAGGCTGCTGAGGAGAGGGCTTGGCCGCTGGGTGAGCCATAGCTGCAGTGATGGGAGACCCTGTTGGCTAAGTGAGGCTGCCTCTCACCTGAATTAGCCTTTGAAATAGTAATCTCCTACCACTCCAGGGCAGTGGCATTAGGAGGGTGAGCTGAGGCTTTGAAGTGGACCATTTATGCAGCAAACCAGGATCTTCCATGCTCACAGCAGGGGAAGGGGGAAAGCCTGCTTGCCCCTGGAAGCAGGAGCCCTGCACAGGGCAAGTCTCAAGCCTCAGGCTTACAACCCTGAGTGGCAGCGACTGGTCTCCACAGACCTATGCCTGGGAAACAGTGAGCTGTGAGCCCCTGAGGAAGCCACTGTCTTTCCCCCACCCCACCGCATAGTAAGCCTTCCTGTCGCATTCCCTGGCTGTGGGGACTTGGCTTTGATGGTGCAGGAGGCAGTGCACCTGCTGTGTGCACTGAGGAGGCTGAATGGGAACTGTCCATGTCCCCCATGACAGCATGTTAGAGCAGAGTAAGTTGGTACCATCCACCAGGCCGAAGTGCTGCTGTGGGAGCTCCAGGGGAGCAGAGAAATCCTCAGGGACTGAGTCGCTGAGCCTGCAATAGAAATGCATGGTCAGGGGAGCAGGACCCTCCCGGGGCTGATGAATTCACTAGTCTCCTCCCAGTGGCAGGGCTGGGGCTGCCTGCGTATTTCCAGTTGAAGCTCAACCTGGGTTCTGGCCACAAGTCTTAGGGTGCTGGGCATAAAAGACAGCAGCTGGGCTGGAATGAGACGGTGGGTAATTGCACTTGGCCTAGGCTCAACTTAGCCTGTTAGCGCTTAAATGATGGCGCAGAGCCTGGGCTCCAGGAAACAGGCTGATTTGGCAGGTTACATGCATTTGACGCTTGCCCTTAATGTGGACAAGGTGACTTGTGCATTGGCTTCCCTCAGTAAGGACAGGTGCATTTTACAGCTTGCGGTGTTGCAGCGACAGAGGCAGGCTCTGAAGGAAAAGGCACCCCCTGGAATGGGATGTGGGGGAAGGTTTATGGTGCAGCAGATAGGCTGTGCACACGCTGGCTCTTCTGCATGGTTCAAACGACAATTCCCACTGCTTTGGCCTAAGCTTTGAGTATCCGGCTCACCTGCTCCAATTCCCAGCTGTGGAGGAGTGGGCTCAGCTCATGCCTGAGGCTCCTGCATGTGTTCTAGGGCAAGCACCGGGGGGAGAGAGTGGGCACAAACATTGCAGGGGCCATGTTACCTTTGAGGAAGTGGCACAGGGAACACAGCCCCCAGCAGGAGTGGCAGCAGCAGGTGCAGCTTCATAGGCCCAACCCAACTACGCTGTGTCCTTGCAGAAGCAGGCTGGACTCAGCCTATCCTCCTTTTCTTTCATTGGTTGTCATTGATGGAACATAATGACATCATGAGGCCCTACAGTGACATCATAAAAGGCGTGAACACATGAGGTATCACTTGCACTGCTAGCAGGAGTGCTGGGTAACACAGCAGGAGACACTAGCAGAAGGCGAGGCCCGGAGGTAGAGCAGTAGAGAAGCATGGCACCGACTGGCAAGCTGGGGATGATGCAGGTGTTAGGGCAACTACGTAGGTGTCTGCACAATATTATCCCCATAGCCATAGTCATCTACCCCATTTGGCCTCCTCAATGCACCTACCACCTCACACCACAGCAGCCCACCGAGGCTTTGAGAGACTCTGAGGGCAGGACCCAGCACAGAGCCAGCCCCCTAAGCTAATTTAAAAAGGATATCTCCTGCAGGAGCAGCTCTTAGACCGCTGCTCATCACATGCAGCTCAGGATCCCAAAGATCTTCCTGACACAGAGCAATCCATTACCTCCATACCTAACCTAAGCATCCTCCTGGGCTCTCCTCAGGCTGGCACTCTAGCTGGAGGAAAAGCGGGTCTAGGTAAGTGTGGCACTGGCAGTCACAAAAGCACAGCTCATGCTGTGTAGTCTCCACTGGATCCCCCACCATTCTGGTAGAGTTCAGAATTGCCCTCCTCATGTTTAACTCCCTAAATGTTTGCCTCAAAGCCTTTATCTCTTCCCACAATCTGCATCTTCTCTGCAGTTTCCCTATCTCCATCCATCTCATTGTAGAGTCTGCCTAGGCTGGGTGAAGTCCTCTTTTCTCTCCCTTCACTAGGAGCCTCTGGACTGAATGGAGCATATTCCCCAGCCCATGGCTCCATGCTGCTGCAGCCTAGACCACATGCTGTCACTTCCTCCTGCCGTGTAGTACTTGAAGTATACTGGATGAATGATGCTATCCAAACTGGCTGGCCTGTATTGGAGCAGCCGTGAGGTCCGGGTTTTCTCGCTGCTCCATCTGATAGCCCTGCAGGGAATACAGCTGCTTCTGCTCCATTACAGTCTCTGCTCCAAGCACTCCCATGAGAAGCCCAAGCTGTACGTGTTGCACACCCACCACTGTAGTGTCAGGGGCCCCGAGGCCAGTTTAAGTAAGAGCATTATCCTCACCCAGTTCAGCCCCTATTCTGAACCCCCCTCTGTGAAATGACTTCTTGCTGAGGTGTCATTCTGGGTGTTGATAACTAGTGGGGGAACTACTCAAGGACTCCTGTTGGGTGAAAGTCGCCACAAAGGGAAGAGCTGGTGAGACTATAAAATGGTTATGATACACTGAGCTCAGTGAGACTTATGGGAGCTGCTCAGACTCTAACAAGCCCACGGTTCCTCTCTTGTCAGGGTATTCCCTAGAGAGAGAACAAAGGGGCGTTGGCAGGGCAGGCCTGGAAGAGCAGCAGGGTGGCTGGGCATGACTGAGACTGCATCATCAGAGCTGGGCATGGGAAACCCGGGACTAGAACACACCTCACACTCCAGGGCCAGATGTTCTGTAGCTCTGTGAATGGGAGTCTACCCCCTGGCTGCTCCGTGCATAGTTCTGGCAGAACAGTGCTGCATTTCCCTCTACCATTCCTCAGCCAGCAAAGATACCTAACCCCCCCCCCCCACTTTCTTTAGTTGCTCTAGGGCTCAGCTGGGCCCTGGCCATTTAGCTTTGCACATACATAAATGTTGGTTGAATTGATTTGTCTGAACTCCCCGCATTGACCAGCCCCCTCGGCATTGCTTTCCAGCCCCCACTCTCTGGTTGGCAGCTGCTCAGCAAGCCCTTTTAGCGTACATTAGCTGCTAGAAACGCAATGTACAAACTGTGGCATGCAATACCCACAGGAGAGCTGCAGGAAATTAAACAGCCTGAACCAACCACCAAAAGTCCCAGCTGTGGACCAGGCAGATGCCAGCTGAGCAGCACATGGGCATGATGGAGCCCTGCATTCTCCAGGGGAAAGAGCACTGAAGGGAGTGCTTGAGAGACAGATGGTGGCCATGGCAATAAGCGAGAGTCCCTGAAACAGGGAACTGCAGAGGTGGGCCTTGCTGCTAGAGCTAGCTGTGGTGGGGGTCAGCTGCCCAGCAGCCTGAGATGCCCCCAAACTTGTAGCTGGAGGGAGGAAAGAATGTTCCTGCCTTGCAAAGCTCTCTTGCCCCCGCACACAGCTGTGTTACCGGACCAGCAGCCCTGTATGGGACGAACACCCCGAATGACCTTGTGAGAGCAGGGGCTACCCTGGGGGGAAGGGAGCTGCAGCCCAGGGCAGAGAACTCAGACTGGGGAAGAAATCCTGGGAGGCCAGAGGCTCTTAGGCTGCCTCTTCAGCACAGCCAGCTTCCGTAGCAGGAAGAACCCTCCAACAGTTTGGGCAAGGAGGGAAAGGTCTCACTAACACAAGCCGGGCACAGGATCGGTCCCAGCACCCAGAGCAGACAGACAGTCCCAAAAGCACTGGTGCCACTGCCTGACTTTATTACTGTGCAGCCATACAAAAGCCAAGTGCTTATAAAAGAGGTCCTGGATCAGCACTGAAGGTGATGATTGTACAGGCTTGGGGTGGCAAAAGTCTCTCACCCCACGTAGGGTCCATTGTTCACAGCTAGCTATGTAAAAAAAGTTACAAGCCCCCTGGAGAATGGGAGTCTCTAATCAATGGTTTAACTGAAAAATAGATACGATAGAAACATCCCTCCAGCCAGCTTGCCCTCCGGAGACATCCTGTCGCCACTCTGAGCCAGCCCCGGTCACAGCAGTAAAGGGCCACTTCTGCATCAGCCCCAGTTATAGAAATAGATTTTCTGCCAAGCTGGCAGGTAATTCATCATTGGTCCTGAAATGAGAGAACAGAGGGACCAGGTGAGCCAGAGTGGGGAACAACATTTTAAAGATGTACACTTGAGCATGGATTTGCCACACATCTCTGCTGGTGCCCCTCAATCCCAGCCCACAGCCTCCCATTATGCCATTCCTAGCTTTTCCCCAAGCAAAATCACCAACTGTGCCACGCTGGGTGGTGGTGCTGATGTGCCCACCAGGAGGAGAGCAGGACAAGACTCGTATGACCCTTGAAACTTGGACAACAGAGGCAACAGGTGAGGTGCACTGACACCTGTGCACTGGAGAAGGGCTTTCCCCTCTGCCCCTGGACTGCTGCTGCCCACACAGGAAGAAACCTGTGGGATAGGAGAGCCCCAGCCGAAGTATAGGGAAGGGGCAGTAACCCAACTCAGCACCAAAGATCAGCTGCAAAGACACAGTCTCCCTCAGTTCCTGGCTAAACTCATGTAGTGCTGCTATGCATGTTACGCTGCTTCCGCGGCCCACTCCAGAGAGGGCTGTGTTTCAGCAGGAAGTGGAAGAAGAGAGGAGACTCTGGATTGAAGATTGTAAAGTGCTTTGGGGTCCTTTTGGAAGAGGTGCTAGAGAAATGCAAGATTGTTTCCATTCTTTAATTCACAGTCCATCCAAAACTACCTTGGAGTAAGTGTCCCTGGTAGCAATTTGGAGAGGGTTACTCCTCACTCTGTGTTGTGCTTTGTACAGCTCAGTGCTTATGAGGTGGGTGAAGATGGGATGGAGGGGCATCAGCAGAGCTGTGTATGGGGCACATAGCAGGATCAGCACAGCAGTGTGCACTGGAGGTCAGGACTGAGGTGCACTGGCAGAGCTGTGCAGGGAACCCAGGACTGGAATCCAGCCAGCTCTGGCTGGGGGGGTATATGAATGATTACAATCATGGCGCTTAAGTCCCTACGATATTTAACCCCTTACTGTTTGGATTTAAACCAGCACATGAGTGTTAATGGTAGGTATTCTGGTGGCAAATATCCCAGGGGCTTTTCCTCACTCCTTTGCCAGTTAGGCTCTAGCCTGTGACATACAGCCCACCCCCAGCTCCAGTCCTTCCCGGTGGAAATGCAGCCACTACAGCTGCCTACTTACGCGTGACTAACCCGACTCCGGGAACATAATCAGCCAGCAGGCGGAGCAGGAAGAGGATCCGGCCCCTAGGGGAATAGAAAGAGTGTGGATGAGGCCAGTGCAATGACCTCACGTTCCAGTCTGCCGAACGCACTAGAAGAGGCCTCCTCCTTCGGTAATGGGAACTGGATTTCTCTCAACTCAGCTGCTTTGCTGCCCTTGAATATCCTGCACCCCCAAACTGCCAGCTCCCCACAACTTCCCATGTCAGGATTTTAATGCAAACAACAGTGATGCAGGTGAAACAGGTCAGAGTGAAAGATGCTTGAGATCTTCAATAGAGCCTGAGCCCACTCTGGCTTCCTAGCTAGGTAGAGGCATCAAAGCCCCTTAGTGAAGGCCCAAAGTATAACTGTGTTAAAAAAAGAACTAGATAAGTTCGTGGAGGATAGGCCCATCAGTGGCTATTAGCCAGGATGGGCAGGGACACAACCCCCTGCTCTGCGTGTCCCTAAACCTCTGACTGACAGCAGAGACTGGATACCAGGAGTGGATCACTCAAAATTACCTCTGTTCATTCCCTCTGGGGCACCTGGCATTGGCCACTGTCAGAAGACAGGATACTGGCCTAGATGGACCCTTGGTCTGACCCAGTATAGCCACTGTTATATTCTTAGAGCACCTCGCTCATCAAATATCCTGTTGGTAGACTGGCTCCTTTATAGGGGCTAGATTCAGAACAGCCAGCAGGACCCCTTACTCTGAGTATCGGTCATAAAAAGGAGATCTCAGCAGGTAGTACAGCAGCAGGATGGTTCGGCGTCTCAGCTCCAAGCGCTCTCGCTTATTCAAGTCTTTCATATCACTCAGTAAACTTAGGCTGGAAAGAGAAGGGCAGGGAGTTAACTCAGAGATCCATGGCCACAGCACGGGAGTTTTAGCCTCTAGTCCCTGCTGCTCTCAGCGCCATGTGAAGTGGACCACTGAGCAGGCTTCCCTGCTCCTCTTCAGAGGAAAGGCTAACCACCCAACTAGGGATAGTGCAGTGTGAAGATGCTGCAGGGGCGGATCCTCAGAATCTTGGCGTGGGACTTCTTGCTGTCACAAATAACTGCTCCCACCTGCAGCTGCACCCCCGCCCCGCACTGCTGCTTCTGCCTGAAGGGCCTACACAGCACAGAACAGCAGGGCAGCAATGGGATCAAATGGGGACAACTGAGACAGACAGGACTGGGAGTTCAGCCCCAAAACACCCAAATGGAACCCAACGCGGAAGCCTTCCTCCAACTGACCTTGTGATATCCAGGATTCCCGAGAGGAGCCAGGGCTTCCATGATCTCTGGCCCCATATGCCTAAACTCAACACTGGGAGCAGTAGGGTCAAGGAAAGGAGAGAACAGACATGGTTGGCAGCAGCTGGGTAGGCAAAATGACCCTCCAGGTAGCCCTACAAGATTAAGCTGTAACAAGTCAGTGCTGTAAGGGCCCCATGGAAGAGGCACACTGCAGGCACTAACAAAAGCCAAGTTAGGATACAATGGAACAGAGGCCGGGTGATGTAGACAGATTCTGCAATGGTTTCCTGAAGCCCCAGAGGGGTGGGAGCCTGGTTCATCTCCTCCGCTCTTCGGTTCTGTTTTCCCTCCCTCTGTTGGGGAGACCCCCAATGTCTGGATTGCAAGGCTGGGGCTGAAACAGAGTTGCAGACAAGGTTTCTAATGCAAACTGTGTCTTTCTCAAGCATCCAGTACATAAACGCTGGCCTTTCAGTGACACCCAGAGGAGGGGTTGGAATGGGAGAACTCTGAGGACTACAGCCACATGGCAGAGGCTGTGGCTCTGGCTTTCCCCAAGCACAGAGAAACAGCTGGTTATAGCCAACACAGAGGGCGCTCCCCTAGGAGCTGGGGCAGATAGTCAGAGAAGGCTTCCCTGGGGATCTGGCTACTTCAAAGCACGGGGAGCTGAACAGTCATTCTGAAGACTTATCCCATGACACAGGTAAGCCTAGGCTGAAATGATCCTGATGCCAGTCCCAGCACAAGCACCAACCCTGTTGCTCTCAGTGGTGGTGGTAATGGGGGCGGGGGAGGGAAATAGGCCAGTGGTGAGAACAGCACCCGCTTGGGTAAGTCAGCGAGCTCCCGCTGGTTACACTCCAAAAGAACCAGTAGCCTGGCCACAGAGTCGAGGCAGACACAGCAAGTGTCAGGGCCTGTGCCAGGGCACAAGCTGACCAGGGAGAGGTACTTACTGCTTTCGAGGGACCTCACAACACGGCTGGAGCGCCTCCCAACATATGTCTGTTCCTTCCCTGCTGAGCTGCCCTCCTTGTCTGCCAGGAGAGAGGCACCACAGTGAGATCAAGGCTGCAACTCTGGGTAAAACTTCCCTGCAGCTCTCTGTTAACACTGCTCTGAGGTGGCTCAGGCGCACCCTCTCCCAGGACAAAGTTCTCATCGCAGCCCCTTCTCCTCCCTCTCGAGTACTAACTGCATGAGGCCAGCTAGTCCGAGTGCTTTATATCTGATGGCTTTATGTTTAAGCTATTAAGTCTGGCTTTTCTGAAACTGCTAACATTGAGCAGAGCCAAGCAAAGTGCAGGAAGGTACATGGTTGCACATGCAGCTGCTACTCCAACCCTGCCTCCCCTTCCCCCAGCTCTGCTAATGCACCTCTAGCCAGTCTTGTAGCCTTCTTTGCTAGACCAGGCTTAGGCCCATTATCCCATTAGGGCTGACAGTCTAAGGGAGCAGTACTGTTAAGTTAACCAAGGGGTGCGTAGGTGCCTGCTGTGGAGAAGGATGGTACTGGAGAGTAGCACAGTTCCGGCAGCTTGGCTTGTGGAATTCTTACAATTTCCCTGTTGCCCAAACCACTCGGTTAAGGGGGACTTTCAAGCAGGACTAACTGCATGACACACCCAACTCCACTGTGCCCCCCAAAGTCTCCAAACTACCCCAAATGTCTGGTAAGTAGCAAGAAGCTGAGGCAATCCCAGTGCAATGGACTCACCTTCTGGTTGGAGTTGCTGCTGTTCCCTGTCCAGTGGCACGATTGGAGGAGATGTCTGGATACCAGCTTTGTACCATAGCAAGAGCAGGAGGCGCAGGATGGCTCTATGGGGCACAGACAAGCCAGGAGGCGTAAGCATCAGGCACACACTACAGAAACCCAGCTTCCTGGTGAGGCAGCAGTCATAGGAGACAGGGAACACACAACTTCTGCTTTGCACTGAGCGAATGGGGCCGACAGCCACTCTGCACATGGCAACAGGAACCAACACAGCTCATCATTGGCTGTCCCTTCTTCACCCTTACTCTGAAGGGTGAAGCCTTACCACAGCCAGGAGCACCACAAAGGTGAGCATCTCCAGCAGTGGGAAATCTAACGTCCTGTGCAGCCCCAAACATGCACAGTCTCATGGAACAGGCTTGCACCATCTTCTTCCATGAGATCAGATCTGCTGGATGCTCACTAGGTAACATCTCACTCATGAGCCCATGCCAACGAGCCCTCTACCCCGTCCCTTTCTGTACACATACACCCTCCTCCCTCCACCTGCAGCACTCACTTAGCCAGCTGGATGAGGATGATGATGGTCCATCGGCCCATCTCACCCCACACCTTGGCAGCCCCCATCTCCGCAAAGACTTCCACACACTCGAGCACACTCAGCCATGTCAGCAACTTCTGCTGGGGTAGCGACTGCAAAACACAAAGAAGGGGAGAGAGTGAAGGTCAGCAGCTTCTGGCTGTGTGTCACGTGGGGTGTAAGTCCGGCCCAGTCTGAAAGTTCTACTTTCAGGGTGAACCAAGGAGGGGTTAGATGGGGGCTCCTGGGAATAAATGGCAGATTTCCTTTCAGACACTGTGTAGCCCACTGATGAAAAGGACTGGCTGAGATCCCACTCATTTCACACGTAGCCTTCAGCAGTGAAAAGCCAGTTAGGCCCATCCAGTTCAACATTCTTGTTCACTATACAGCTGAGATCCTGGCTACAGACTTGCATTCTTCAGCTGGCACAGGGCCTGACACATCCAAGCCACAGAACGGGCAGGTTATCAGAACAGAGGCCTTTCTAACACAGTGATCGCTGAAGGCTGGCTTGGGGTATGGAGAGATTCTTACAGGAAAGAAGCAATCAGGGTTGGGCTTGGATTTCTTTTTGTTTTACTGTACATAGAATGGCATAAAGGGCGACCCAAGGAGCCTGATTCTGTGTTGCACCAGTCAGGAGAAGCAGTCCAGGAGAGGGGAAGGGCAAAGGTGGCTTTATACCTCCCTTGTGCATCCCAGATTCTGAGCTTCTCAGTGACTGGTGTGGTCCAGAGCATAAGTCAGAGGCTTCTCTAATTTATGGCAGCCTTACGCGGGCTGCCTAGAGACTTCTGTACAGCCCAGAACTGCCAAAGTGCAGAGTTCTCTGGTCACTCCCCCATGCCAGGGCCAGCAAGCCAGGACAGCATAGCACTAGTGCATGCCACATATTCAGAGGGCTGTTCTGGCCCCTTTATGCCACCAGAGTGGAATAGTGTAAAGGGGTTGCAGCAGGGACTGGAATCTGGCCCAGTAGCTTCTACAGAAACATTTCTAGAAGCACAGCCTCGGCAGATGAGCATGGGAAATGCATGTGCCAACCCCTCCCCCCGTGCACAAGAGCCTCACCACAGGCAGGGTCCGCTGTAGCTCCTTTCGGAGGATCCAGTCATTTAACAGCACCAGGAGGTTGGAGGCAGAGTACACTGGGAAAGAAGACAGTGATTCACATGGGAAAGAGATCTAGCCACTGACTGAACCCTCTCCCCACCCAGTCATAGGATATGGCAGAAGCTGAGCGTTCAGGAGAAAAATCTTCCCAACCATTCATTCGCCTCAGTGGAATTAGGGTTGCCAACCCTCCAGGATTGTCCTGGAGTCTCCAGGAATTCATAAACTCTAGGACTGGAAGGGACCTCGAGAGGTCATCGAGTCCAGTCCCCTGCCCGCATGGCTTAATCTTTAATTAAAGATAATGTCATGTGATGAAACCTCCAGGAATTTGTCCAACCAAAGTTGGCAACCCTAGATGGGACAGACAGACTCCTGATAGCTGAGAGAGGCAATGCAGCCAACAGCAAAGTTAAGAGAATGATGAGTTTTAAGCAAGGACTATCTATGTTCCAGGAATTTGACCCCAGACAGAGTGGGAGATAGACTGAGCTTGCTGTGGGGCAGGGTCTCTGGCCAACTCCAAGTTAGTAACATAGCCACTCTTTTTGGTTTTATTCAAAGAGCAGCTGGTATAGAGCTTCTGATCACCAGGTTCCTACAACACATGGAAAAGAGTACCCACCTGCTAGTTGGTTCAGGAAGGCAAGGTTAACAAATTTAACAAAACCAATGGCCAAATAGCAGCCATTAGCACCAGAGGGAACAGGGAGCCCCATGAGAGCCTAGACTAGCCGCTGGCAAAGAAACAAACATTCCCATCACACCCAAGGGAATGCCTCATCTCACAATGCCCTAGCTGAAGAGACACTTGCAGGAGCATTAGGAAACCGCAGCCACTGAATAATCCCAGCCATGCAGCAGCAGCGTTCTGATTTCAGACCTGCACCTCTTTCCCTGGTACAATGCTCAGCCCCGCCCTCCCCAAAGTCTGCCATTATCTACACAACACAGATGCAGACGGCACAGTTCTGGTGCCGCATATCAATTCACCAGCATACGTACCAAGCTCAGAAAGTTCATGGGAATCAGAAAAGCGACCTGGGAAATAAAGGAGAGATGTCAGAGGAGGATTCTGTCATGCTGCTGAAAACCACCACAATCATTGCTTCAGAGGGAAACAATTACTTTAATCAATGCTGATAGGGAATTCTGAGCTTAGTAAAAGGGTTTGAAGTATCCATCAAGGATGTCTCTCAAGGAGCCCAGAGATTAATATTCTCCTGCCCTCAAAACAACAACAGGTTACTCCCTCCCCTTCCCATTGCTCTGCCTCTTTCTGGCCAAGTACTAGATGAGGCTTTATTGTTTTTTCTTCAACCTTCCAATATCTGTGCAAGTCCAGCGGGTGAGGGTGGGTGTCCTGCAGGCTGATGACAGATGCTCCTTCATTTCTTGGGGGTCTTACAGGCAAAAGGTGATGTGCCAAAATATTTTAACCATGCATTCAGTTTTTTTTTTTACTTTATTAAACCACCAAGCACAGTATGAGCTACACCTGAAGCAAGGCCCTTCATTGTCTTCTCCACCACATGCCTGAGTTCAGAGCAGGCTGATCCTGCTAGCACAGCAGCGTGTGAATCGCAGATATACAAGTCCATCTTTATCTGAACCTTAGTAACTCGAGGCAATGCAGATGGACCTTATTTACGATGGTTATGATGTAGTGGGACCCTGTCAATGCAACTCGTGACAGATCAATAAAAAACCCATTGTTTAATGGGAGGGACTGGCTAACAGAGGTGGAGCAGACTTCTCTGTAGCACGGGTGGAGGAGGCACTCCCAGAGTTCTCATCAGACCGAGTCTGGACACCCGGGTTCCTGCCCGACTCCCCGGGGAGCGGGGTCTGTCGCGGGGCAGGACGCCTGGGTTCCTGCCCGACTCCCCGGGGAGCGGGGTCTGTCGCCGGGCAGGACGCCTGGGTTCCTGCCCGACTCCCCGGGGAGCGGGGTCTGTCGCGGGGCAGGACGCCTGGGTTCCTGCCCGACTCCCCGGGGAGCGGGGTCTGTCGCGGGGCAGGACGCCTGGGTTCCTGCCCCAGCTACCCGTAGAGACGGGCGCTCCAGGCTCGCTCGCCCCGGTACCTGGCAGCAGGTAGGAGAGGCCCCGCACGGTGCCCTCCAGCTGCGCAGTAGCGGCCGGGTGCTGCCTCACGTACTCCTGGTAGCGGTGACACAGGCGCCGCAGCCTCCCCAGGGGCGCGGCGGCGGCCATGGCTCCCCGGGACCACTTAGTTCCACCGCCGCCCCGCACACACTTCCGGGTAGGAAGCTGCGCGCCTGCGCATTGAGCTACTCACACGCCGGATTCTCCCTCTGCGCCTGCGCACCGAGCGCAGTAAGACCCGCAATCTGCCAAGACCCGCTAGCCTCTTGAATCGAGCACAGAGCAGCGAGGCGGATGAATCGAGCGCGGAGCGGCTGGGTCCGCAGCCGGGACTGGGAGGAGGTGATTTAAAGGGCTGAGAGGCAGCGAGCGCGGCGGTAGCCGGAGAAGCCGCCTGCGGCAGCAGCAGCAGCGGCAGCAGCAGCAGCAGCGCGCGCGCGCCGGCCTCAGGTACTGGGCGGCGCGAGCCTTGCGGCGCCCGGGGACAGAGCCCCCTGCAGGGCGGCGCCGCGGGGCGGAGAGTCCGGGCGGCCGGGGGCTGCGGCACCTGCCCCGGGAGGTGCCCAGCCAGGGGTGTGAGCGGCCCTGCACTGAGCCCTGCCCGGGCGCCCCCTGCTCCCCTCCGGTTCAGGCCACTCTTCTCTTGAGACGCTCCGGAGCCTTCCTCCCCCTCCCGCTGGCCCGGGGCTCAGCGCTGCTGCCGGGCAGGGCTCCCCGTCGGCTCGGCTCGGCTCTGCACAGAAATGAGCCGATGTGGCCCCAGGCTGAGCGGCGGCAGCGCTGAATAGCGAGACGCCCCGCGAACCCTTTCGGGATGTGATGACAGCGGGGGGCTCGGCCCCTTTCCATGCCGTGCGAGCCGCCCCACAGGACCCCGGGGGCCGCCCTCCCCAGGCCCGCTGAAGTGCGGCTCTCGCCTCGCTCCTTCAGCCCGGGGAGTGAGTGTGGGAAAAGCGGGGGAAGCAGGAGGCAGGTTTCCCTTTAACACCCTGAACAGCCCGTAACAGAGATGCAGGTTCGGGCAGGGAGCGGGTCGGTGAGCCTCACCAAACCTTGGCCTTTGAGGTTGATGGATTCAGTGTAGGCTGGGTCGGTACTGTCCTACCCTGTGGCTGTTCAGTGCCCATTGTGAGATGAGTTGGTAGGTCTCATTCATTTCCCAGTAGGAAGATGTCCACGTTGTTTTGATGCAGCTTTAACTGGCCTCTTTGTTGTCAGACTCAGTAGAGAAGCCAAGTATTAATAAGTCATGGAGTCTGAGCTCCTCTTTTGCCCCTTTATTTTGCTTTTCCCAGAGCCAGGAGAGGAGTCAGACTCTCTAGGGCTTGTGACATGATTTGTGAAGTGCTCTGTGCATTAGAGCACTCTCGTCATAATACTGCAGAGTGGCAGGGCAGTGTTGGGGTGCTTGCTTTCCTACTGTCTATGCTACCAATATTTTTTGGGGGGGTCTTAATTTTTAGGGCCATTAGTTTGGCACCTTTTCGGCAGCCCTAAACTCTCATACAGCCTGGGTGTATCAGAAGGATCAGTGTGAAGGCAAAAATAGTCAGTTTGGGGGTGGAGAGTGAGTAAAAGCTTCTGAAATTCTTGTAGAAAAGATTTAATGAAGTTAAGAGGGAGGGGATTGAAGAACACGGGTGGGGTTAAAAATGTGTGATGGGGCCACTGCCCTTTAAGGCTTGTGGTAAAGCTAGGGAGAGGGTTGGGATCTCGAAGTGGGGAGTGCTTCACATAAATGAATAGGTTTGAAACCTCCAGTACAACTCGGCAGGGAACCTTAATTTAGGGCTGTGAGCCCTGCTGATGGGCTAACCAGTGAAAGGCAAAGAGGCATTGAAATGTCTAGAAGGAGGGGGCACTAGCTGGAATTTCCTGGGAGTCTAGCAACAGAGGGTCCTGTGGCACCTTTAAGACTAACAGAAGTATTAGAGCATAAGCTTTCGTGGGTGAATGCCCACTTCATCACTTGCATCTGATGAAGTGGGCATTCACCCACGAAAGCTTATGCTCCAATACTTCTGTTAGTCTTAAAGGTGCCACAGGGACCCTCTGTTGCTTTTTACGGATTCAGACCAACACAGCTACCCCTCTGATATTGGGAGTCTAGGGCATTTGTACCATCATATGTTGGATGTGACTGCTGCTCTTCATAACCGGAGAGAGGAAGGGAAGGCAGAGCCCCAATTACACTAACACAATCCACAGGTCCCTGGTATTTGGGGGAATCTGTCTCTGGTATCCACCACTGAAATTAATGTGGGAAAGTTAATTCCATTCCTCCAGTGAAATATGGATGTGTAAACATCAGCTAAAATCTGACCATGGAGGAGAGAGCTGTGAGATTTCCTATCAAAGAACTAAAATCCCTGTGTTCAGACCAAATAAACTTTGGGGCCTCAAAGAATGCTCCAGGATATACAGTAGAACCTGAGAGTTACGAACACTTCAGAACAGAGCTTGTTCATTATTCTGAACAAAACATTATGGTTGTTCTTCCAAATGTTTACAACTGAACATTGACTTTGAAACTTTATTATGCAGAAGAAAAATGCTACCTTTAACCATCTTAACTGAAGTGAAACAAGCACAGAAAGTTTCCTTACCATGTCAATTCTTTTTAACTTTCCCTTTATTTTTTTAGTAGTTTATGTTTAATACAGTACTGAATAGTATTTGCTCTTTTTGTTTTGTCTCTGCTGCCTGATTGCGTACTTCCGGTTCCCAGTGAGGTGTAAGGTGGACCAGTCAGTTTGTAACTCTGGTGCTCATAACTTTGAGGTTCTACTGTACCTTTATAAACATGGAGTCTCCATGCCCTGCACCACCCTCTGCTCCCCACAAGGTCATTGGGCAGGTTCTGGTGTGTTGTGAGGGGACCCTGGTATACACTGGGGACTCACCTGCAGACTTGGCATGGTTTTTCCTTTCCTCCACTTGCTTTTGAACTGTCAGCCGCTGTGTGACTATATGGCAAGAAAGCACGTACAGGTCACAATGAGACAGACAGAAGGCTGGAAGCTAGGACTTCTCAGTGTTGCAGTAGGCTTATCTGCCAGGGAATATGTGGTGTGTTACAGTTCCTGCTCCCTTTAAAGTACAGTGGATCAGAAGCCCTACTGCTGGGGCATATTTAAAACTAGTTTGTGACAAAGGCCTGGAGAATAGACAGCAGCGGACAGTCTTGCCCCAGTTCGGAGATGGGATCTAATAGTCATTTTCCATCTCTTAATCATATGAGTTAGGCCAAGTTTCTCATTATGTGCAGCAGCACCTCTTGGTTCTCCTGTACAGAGCAGTTGGAGATGGGGGTATTGAGCAGAAGGAACATCTAGTGTCAGAAGAGAGGTGCGTGAAAAAGAATTCAACTTATGTTTGAGAGGTGCTGAGCATGACTTCTTCATGCCAGGAATGTGCTGACCCTGGCTTTGGGGACATGCAGCATCACCACTCAAGCCAGTGTGATATCCACTGCAGACTATCTGAGCTGCTGTGACATAATTTTTCAATGAAATACCCAGGCCCTGCCAGACAGCAGCTTGAGATCAGGCTGCCCAACAGCTTGTCTTCAATCAGATGGTTGGAGTCCTCTGGCTTCTCTTGGGCATATGACCAGACAGTGCTAGTCTTGTCAGTAAGCAGGGGACACTCTGACAGAGGATTCACCCAGGGTGCAAACCTCCCTGCTGTCTGTATCTTTTCCCCCTCCCTGCTCTCCTTTTCAGATAAATCACTTCTGTTCTCCACCCCAGCCTGTCCAGGAAAGTGACTCAGCATGTTAGTCAATCTGGCCCCCTAGTGCTTTCATAATGAAGATGGCAAAGGGTGAAAGCTCTATGGGCATTGCTGCTCAAAGCAAGTGAAATTACCCTGCCTAGGAAGTTAGGCTCTCAGGCTTCCTTGGTTTATGGGGCTTATTGGGGTGTAACTGAGCGCTCCTGCCTCTGCTAGGCTCAGATAGTCTGAAACCGCTGGTGCTTTTATTTACAAGTTTGTGTGCCTATCACCTTCTTGCTATACACAACTCTGGGTTCTTTGTGCCTGACCCCAGAAGGGAAGGGCTTTCTCCCTGTCTGCACTCCCTCGCTCTCCTCCATCCCACCACCCTGCTTCCTTCTTCCCAGGTGCTTACATAGCCCTGGACTAATTGGGCTGGCAGCAGGGCCGGCTCTAGGATTTTTGCTGCCTCCCCCGCCCGTTTTTTTCTTACCCCACCCCCGGCCCCGCCTCAACTCCGCCCCTTCCCCAAATCCCCAGCCCTGCCTCCTCCCCCCAGGCTCTCAAACCTGGGAGGGAGGGGGAGCAGCGGCATGCAAATCAGCTGTTTCGCACGCTGTGGCCGCTCGGGATCTCCCCCTCCCTCCCAGGTTTGAGAGCCTGGGAGGGAGGGGGAGCAGCGGCGCGCGAGCAGCAGCAGCAGCGGAGGTGAGCTAGGGCGGCCGGGGCACATTTTTAGAGGCGGCAGGGGCAGCATTCTGGCGCCGGCCATGCCTCCCCTAAAAATGTGCCACCCCAAGCACCAGCTTGTTTTGCTGGTGCCTAGAGCCGGCCCTGGCTGGCAGCTGGCTCTGATTCCCCAATTAGGGCAGGTTCTTTCCAGCCAGCTCGACTTTATTCACATAAATGGGGCTGGCATGGCAGGGGCCTGGTTCTGCAATCCTCCTGCTCAGCACCCTGTCACATGGGGTATGTGGGAAATGGCCCATGATTGGGGTAAGGGTGAGGTGTTCCACCATGCAACTCAAAGTTCAGGCTTCTCAGCAACTTACTGTTAAAGCTCAGCTTGGGTAATGGACATGGTAGGGTCAGGTGGTTATTGGGCAGTAAGGAGGAGAGTGCAGACTTGGCACTAGTCTTGATATGACTATAAATCCAAAAGTAAGCTGACTGTGCAAGTCCAATCAGTGCTCTATCCTCTCAGTGCCTCCAACTTGCTCTGCTGCCAGTAACTTGCACTCTAGCTGGCTAAAATCTGCCGAATTAGACTGTACTTGGGGAGACTGACTCCTGCAGAGTTGAGCACAGAACCTTATATTTACCACGGCAATGCTGCTCCTATACCAGAAGTGCCTGAAATGACAACTTCCAGGAGCCTGAAGAGTGTGTGTGGGTATGTATATATACACACACCCACACCCCTTTGGCATATGCAATTCTACAGCACCCGGCAGCATTAGACAGCTATAGAAAGTGGTGTATAGGTAGTGAAACATGGGTGTGCATTTAAATGTTAATGGAAATACACCAGGGGGCACCCAGACTTTGGGGATTTATCTATGCTGGGAGGAATTGCCTCCTTAATGCTTGTAACAGGTGGAGTAGTGGCCAATGCATTGTACCAATTCCATATCTAGGGCAGAGACACTCTCTTGTAGCGTATTAGCAGAGGTGAGATGGTATTCCTGTGAAGCCGGAGGGTATGCTCTCCAATTGCTACACCAGGTGTTTGG